TCTGTGACACCCCGAGGGCTCTGCTGGAGCCTGTGTCCATCGGGGTGGTTCTGTGACACCCCGAGGGCTCTGCTGGAGCCTGTGTCCGTCTCCTCCCAGGCAGTGTCTGGGAGGAGGCCATTCCTACCTGCATAGATAAGAGGAGAGAAGAGTTCATGCTGACCCTGCCCCAGCCCCATGCAGCATGTGGATGATCCCAGTACGGGGCCGTAGAGGCTGCAGCCCCTGATGGAAATCAAGGCAGCCTTTGGCAGGTGTTGAGACCAAGGGGACACATGTGAATCCTTTGTCCTCCTTCCAGCCCCCACCTCCCAGGTGGGGTTAGGTATGCGTTTTTGGGGTGGTGAGTACTGCCTAAAGGCTGGGGAAGGGCCTGCGCAGTCACCTCGTGTCTTTTATTTGAATTTCAGATTAGCCAAGTGCTGGGAAATGAAATCAAGTTTGCTGTCCGGGAACCACTGGGGCTCAGGTAAGATATTGGGCCACCTTGGAGCTGGGTTGTCTGAAGGCCCTTGGCCACAGCATCCTAGACAGCTCTGGCTGCTGCACCAGAGCTTTTCGGGGGCCGCAAGACCAGACCAGTTCTGCTTTCTGCCCCCATAAATCAGCCTGAGGCCCTCAAACTCTTGTCCCACAGCAAGTGCTGGGAGCCACAGGGGCTGGAGGGGCTTGTGTGGGGCTGGAGGAGCTCCTGTGTCCTGTGGGAGGCTGGTGTCTGCAGTGCTGAGGCTGGAGCTGTGCGGAGCCCAGTCCTCCCACGAGAGGCTTGTGGCTGCCTCGGTAGAGCGAGGGAGGGGAGATGGAGGCTGATGACCAAGCAGGCAGCCAGGAATGCTTTGTGGAGTGGGAGTGATGGTTTTGCCCCCTGTGCTCATGCCAAGTTCTCCATCTTCCCTCCCACACAGGGTCTGGCAGCTGGTTTCCGCCGTCATGTTTTCTGGGATCGCCATCATGGTAAGTGAGGGATGTGGTGCTGGGTACCACCACCTCCTGGCTGCCAGAGGGGTGCCCCAGGGTGGCTCCTCGGCCCCTGGCATTTATCCCCCTCCTTTTCTTTCTCTTTTGAGGCCTTTGCCCTCACCGTGTCTCGGTAATGGGCTTCCTTGGCAGCGTGTTCCCATTACCAGAGCCTGTTTTCATTAGCAGGGTCATAAACCACACATGGCACGGCAGCCTGGGCCACAGAAAGTGGCCACAAAGCCAGTAGCTGTCGTGCTGATAGTTCTTGTGCCTCCTTAATTTCCAATTTCCTGGCCAGCAGCTCCCATCCCATAAAGGCTGCTGCCCCAGAGGGCAAGTTTTGATGGCTCAGGCTGCTGAGTCTCTCCCTTGCCTCCGCCAGGCCCTTGCGTTCCCTGACCAGCTCTACGAAGCCGTCTTTGATGAGGAATCTGTGGGCAGCAAGACTCCCATCCGGCTCTACGGAGGAGCCCTCCTCAGTGAGTGCCATCCCGCTGCCCCTGGGGCAGAGTTGAGGGGACGAGAGGCCAAAAATGGCAGGAAGGGGGGGTCAAAGCCTGTGCCCAGCAGGACAACTGCAGCTGGAGAGCAGAAGACCTGCTCTTAGTGAAGAAATGGTTGGTGTAGGGGTATTTTGAGAAGCTCAGGTGCTGCTGCTTTTTCCTGGTCGGGGCTGAGGCTCGCTGTGGGCAGGGTAAGAAGGGCTGTGCGCACTCTAAATACCCGGGGGGGGGCACCCCCAAGTGCCCCAGCAGAGGGGGGATTGCAGCTGGGCTGGTAGAGATGGGGTGCTGGGGCTAGACCCTCCTGGTGGGAGCAGGAGAAGGGGCAGGTGGGAAGGAGGGAGGGGGGGCAAAGGACAAGATGGTGAGGGGAGCCCAGAGAAACCATCTGGAGAAGAAAATGAGCGGAGGATTGAAGCAGAGGGGGGGTTTGCAAAGCCCTGCACCCCGCGCTGGTGCTGCCAGGCTGCGGGGAATGCACCTTTGGGGTTCCAACCTGGGGTCCCCTCCGGGGCTGGCACGCTGCGAAGGGCACCGAAGGCCAGGCAGGTGCTTGAAAAGGCATGTTTTTCGGGGGGTGGTGGCTGGGTCTGAGGGCAGGGGGTGGGATGCAGGATGCTGGGGTTGGCTCCTTCCCGCAGCCTGCAGCGGCACCCGGCGGGGATGGCTGGAAAGGCGGTGGCATCCCTCCTGCATCCCTCCTGCATCCCTCCATCCTCCAGCAGGAGGTCCTCTGGGGGCAAGAGGGTGGGCTGCCCTCTTCCCAGTGGTCACCCCCGCCCCTGCTTTGGCTCTCGGGGCAGCTGGCCTCCCCTGTCCCTCCACAGGTATCTCGCTCATCATGTGGAACGCGCTCTACACGGCCGAAAAGGCGATTATCCGCTGGAGCCTGCTGACGGAGGCGTGCTACTTCGCCGTCCAGTTCCTGGGTGAGTATCACGGGGTGTATCACCAGCAAGTTGGCAGATGACACCGACCTGGGTGAGTATCACGGGGTGTATCACCACCAAGTTGGCAGATGACACTGAGTTAAGCAGGGGTGGTGATTCCCAGGAGGATAGAGAAGCCCTACAGAGGGACCTAGAGAGATTGGATCACTGGGCCAATGCCAATGGAATGAGTTTCAACAAGGGGTGGCTGGAGCTGCCTGGAGGAAAGAGACCTGGGGGTTCTCATTGACAAGTGGCTGAATAGGAGCCAGCAGAGTGCCCAGGGGGGCAAGAAAGCCAACGGCATCCTGGCTTGGATTAGAAATACCGTGACCAGCAGAAGTAGGGGCAATGGCTTCAAGCTGGAGGGGAACAGGTTTAGATTGGAGATAAGGAGAGGGTTCTTTACTGTGAGGGTGGTGGAGCACTGGAACAGGTTGCCCAGGGAGGTGGTTGAGGCCCCATCCCTGGAGATATTCAAGGAGAGGCTCAATGAGGCCCTGGGCAACCTGGTCTAGTTGGGGGTGTCCCTGCTGACTGCGGGGAGGTCGGACTAGATGACCCTTGGAGGTCCCTTCCGGCCTGGGCAATTCTATGATTCTATGATTGTGCCCCTGTACTCAGCACTGGTGAGGCCACACCTCGAGTATTGTGTCCAGTTTTGGGCACCTCAATCCAAGAGAGATCTGGAGGTGCTGGAGTGAGTGCAGAGGAGGGCAACGAAACTAGTGAAGGGCCTGGAAAACAAATCATATGAAGAGCAGCTGAAGGAGCTGGGGCTGTTTAGTATGAGGAAGAGGAGGCTGAGGGGAGACCTCATCACTCTCTAAAACTACTTGAAAGGACACTGTAGAGAGGTTGGTGCTGGTCTCTTCTCACAGGTAATTAACGACAGAATGAGAGGGAATGGCTTCAAGCTCCAACAGGGGAGGTTTAGATTGAACATTAGGAAGGAATTTTTTGGAGAGTGGTTGGGCATTGGAATAGGCTGCCCAGGGAGGGGGTTGAGTCCCCATCTCTGGATGTGTTTAAGGGACATTTAGATGGGGTACTGAGGGATATGGTGTAGGGGAGGACTTTGTAGAGTAGGGGAGATGGTTGGACTCGATGATCCCAAGGGTCTCTTCCAACCTAGACAATTCTATGATTCTATGAGTGAGTAGGACGGAGGAGGACACCCAAGGATGAGTGTCCCACCTGTGTCTCCCCCCACCACCAGAAGGGAGGAGGAGGAGGGTGAGAGTGAGGTGGGGGGACCTCAATGATTCTATGATTCTATGAGTGAGTAGGAGGGAGGAGGACACCCAAGGATGGGTGTCCCACCTGTGTCTCCCCCCGCCACCAGGAGGGAGAAGGAGGAGGAGGGCGGGAGTGAGATGGGAGGGACTCTCATGCAAAATTGGAGTTGTGGGATGAAGCCCTGGGAGAAAGAGTGGACTCGGGTGATGGGAAGATGCCGTCTCTGTCACCCACAGATCCCCAGCTGTCCCCGTGCTGCCTCTGGCTTGTGCTAGAGATGGCTCCTTTGCTCTGCAGGACTTGGAAAGATAAGCTGGCCCCAGGAGCATCTTCCACCTGCTCTCCCTTTTCCTTCCCCATGGAGTAGTCTCTACCTTGGGCTCCTCACCAAAGGGTGCCCAGGTGCTGGGGAAACAAGTTTTTCTGACAATTCATTTATTTTTCTCCTGAAAAGCATCCTGGCCTTCATAGCCAGCACAGGTCAGCTGGAGTGGGCTGCCTAGATGCCAGGGCTAATAAGAAAAGGCTGTAGCAACCTAGACTAAAAAGGGGGATGTTTAGTTGTACCAAAACCAGAGAATAACAGCTCAGCTTGTTTCTAGGGAGCTTGTCTATATTTAACAATGAAGAAGGGGTTTGTATGTTGATTTTATGTTTATTGGCAGCTCACTACCTGTGTTACAAGGTTTATATATGGGCTGTGGTTGGTAGCCAAAAGAAGAGAGGTGCTCAGAAAAGAGGTAGCCTGTGTGGACTACGCTTATTTTGTAGATGCTTCTGCAGTTGAAAAATGTTGATCATCGGCGCCGAGGTGGTCAAGCCACACAGCAAGCTCAGGAACAGGCAGCTCCCTCAATTAACAGCTAGGAGTGACGAGTTTGGTATCTGCTCAGGTGGCCATTTCAGGCTGTGGCTTCTGGAATGTGGGGCTGCCTTTAAAGCAGGGTTTCTGTAAGTGAGAGCTCCAGTGGGTACCATCGAGGCTGCGAAATCAAGGTGGTGAAGATCCTCTGCCGTGGGTTCAGCGTGCGTGTGAGCCTGTGCTGAAGGCTTCTACGTTAGAGGGCAGTAGAAAACAACTTTGTGCTGCTTTGTCTCCATTTGTGGCTTTTCTTTTTTTTTTTTTCCTTTCATCACCAACCCTCTGCCTTGTCTCCCTCCTTCTCCTCCAGTTACCACTGTCTCCCTGGTCGAGAGCAGCCGGATAGCCACGGGTGCCGTGCTCCTCCTCGTCAGCCGAATCCTCTTCATCCTCATCAGCATTTATTATTATTACCAAGTCGGACGCCGTCCCAAGAAAGTCTAAATCCTGGGCTTTTTGTCATGGGAAGGGTGGGGGTGGGACTTTAAAGCAAAGATGCATCTTTCCTGGGGCCCGCTGCGTAGTTCTCCCCACATCGTTTGACCACCTCCTGGCAAGCTGTGAGGCACGCACTGGTGGCATCCAAGGACATCCAAGGTCAAGAAAGCCAATGGCATTCTGGCTCGTATCAAAAATAGTGTGACCAGCAGAAGCAGGGAGGTGATTGTGCCCCCGTACTCAGCACTGGGGAGGCCACACCTCGAGTGTTGTGTCCAGTTTGGGGCACCTCAATACAAGAGAGATCTCGAGGTGCTGGAGCGAGTGCAGAGGAGGGCAACGAAACTAGTGAAGGGCCTGGAAAACAAATCATATGAAGAGCAGCTGAAGGAGCTGGGGCTGTTTAGTATGAGGAAGAGGAGGCTGAGGGGAGACCTCATCACTCTCTAAAACTACTTGAAAGGACACTGTAGAGAGGTTGGTGCTGGTCTCTTCTCACAGGTAATTAACGACAGAATGAGAGGGAATGGCTTCAAGCTCCAACAGGGGAGGTTTAGATTGAACATTAGGAAGGAATTTTTTGGAGAGTGGTTGGGCATTGGAATAGGCTGCCCAGGGAGGGGGTTGAGTCCCCATCTCTGGATGTGTTTAAGGGACATTTAGATGGGGTACTGAGGGATATGGTGTAGGGGAGGACTTTGTAGAGTAGGGGAGATGGTTGGACTCGATGATCCCAAGGGTCTCTTCCAACCTAGACAATTCTATGATTCTATGAGTGAGTAGGACGGAGGAGGACACCCAAGGATGAGTGTCCCACCTGTGTCTCCCCCCACCACCAGAAGGGAGGAGGAGGAGGGTGAGAGTGAGGTGGGGGGGGGACTCTCATGCAAAATTGGAGTTGTGGGATGAAGCCCTGGGAGAAAGAGTGGACTCGGGTGATGGGAAGATGCCGTCTCTGTCACCCACAGATCCCCAGCTGTCCCCGTGCTGCCTCTGGCTTGTGCTAGAGATGGCTCCTTTGCTCTGCAGGACTCCCAAAGATAAGATGGCCCCAGGAGCATCTTCCACCTGCTGTCCCTTTTCCTTCCCCATGGAGTAGTCTCTACCTTGGGCTCCTCACCAAAGGGTGCCCAGGTGCTGGGGAAACAAGTTTTTCTGACAATTCATTTATTTTTCTCCTGAAAAGCATCCTGGCCTTCATAGCCAGCACAGGTCAGCTGGAGTGGGCTGCCTAGATGCCAGGGCTAATAAGAAAAGGCTGTAGCAACCTAGACTAAAAAGGGGGATGTTTAGTTGTACCAAAACCAGAGAATAACAGCTCAGCTTGTTTCTAGGGAGCTTGTCTATATTTAACAATGAAGAAGGGGTTTGTATGTTGATTTTATGTTTATTGGCAGCTCACTACCTGTGTTACAAGGTTTATATATGGGCTGTGGTTGGTAGCCAAAAGAAGAGAGGTGCTCAGAAAAGAGGTAGCCTGTGTGGACTACGCTTATTTTGTAGATGCTTCTGCAGTTGAAAAATGTTGATCATCGGCGCCGAGGTGGTCAAGCCACACAGCAAGCTCAGGAACAGGCAGCTCCCTCAATTAACAGCTAGGAGTGACGAGTTTGGTATCTGCTCAGGTGGCCATTTCAGGCTGTGGCTTCTGGAATGTGGGGCTGCCTTTAAAGCAGGGTTTCTGTAAGTGAGAGCTCCAGTGGGTACCATCGAGGCTGCGAAATCAAGGTGGTGAAGATCCTCTGCCGTGGGTTCAGCGTGCGTGTGAGCCTGTGCTGAAGGCTTCTACGTTAGAGGGCAGTAGAAAACAACTTTGTGCTGCTTTGTCTCCATTTGTGGCTTTTCTTTTTTTTTTTTTCCTTTCATCACCAACCCTCTGCCTTGTCTCCCTCCTTCTCCTCCAGTTACCACTGTCTCCCTGGTCGAGAGCAGCCGGATAGCCACGGGTGCCGTGCTCCTCCTCGTCAGCCGAATCCTCTTCATCCTCATCAGCATTTATTATTATTACCAAGTCGGACGCCGTCCCAAGAAAGTCTAAATCCTGGGCTTTTTGTCATGGGAAGGGTGGGAGGGGGGGGTTTGTGTCGGTAATTTTGCATTATAATTATAACTTTCTTTTTTTTTCTTTTTTTTTTTTTTTTTTGGTTAGTCCCTTTTTGTTCTAAAGTGGTTTCCTTCTTTTCCACTTACCGGCATGAATCAGTGTGTAACTCGGTGTTGGTGGCATTGCCAGGTGAAATGTTTTTGGGGGGGGAGGTGAGCAGCATCAGGTGGGCCTCCCCCCGCCCTGCCTCAACCTCCCCAGGAGGAGGTGAGGAGCAGTGGGAGGAAGGCTCAGGGAAAAGAGCTGGTTTCCTGGGGCAGGGGAGGAGGGGAACTGGCTGATGGGCTCACAGGCTCTGAACCTGCTGGAAACAAAGCACAAAATCAGACCAGCACATTGAAACCAAATCCCTGAGGAGATGGGGTGGTGAGGAACCCGCTGGAGGACTCGGCTGCTCCCTGTGGTAAGTCTTGCTCCTGCCTGGTGGAGTGTCCTCTCCTCCTGTACAGTCCCCTTTTAGCAAGTCCTGACTGTCCGTGGAGCTGGGAGCTGGGGCAGGGCAAGGTCAAGTTCGGCGCTTTGCAGCCCCCTCTTCTTTCCTTCTGCCAGGGGTGCCACCCCCGTCGTAGTTTTGCACCCAGTGCTGTGCAAAGGAGCTTGGCAGGAGCTCGAGCAGGAGAGGGAGACCCCCTTGCTGGTCCCTTTTTTGGGGACAGCACAGGGAACAGCTTGAAGTACAAGGTTTGAGAAGTGAAGGAAGCTCTTGGAAATAGCCCATTGAGCACAAAGACATCCCTTTTTGCTTGGGATGTTCCGTGAAGTTTCTGTCCCCTTCGTCCCAGAACACCTCCTACAGTTGCAGCTTTACTGATGGTGGTGGTGGTGGTGGGCATGAGATCAGCTTCTGGATCTGCAGGGCCTGGAGTGCTGTTGTGTTTAGCACTGGTAAGAGCACTGGTTTAGCACTGGTAAGAGCAGTGGGACCATCGGTTGGGTTGGTGAGCAGCCCCTGGAGATGAGTCCCAGCAGTGGGAGATGGCATTCCAGCTCCGCTGATGTGCAGGCATCCCACCTCATCTGACTTTTGAGAAGAGAGGACCAAAGTTTGTAGCATTAAGATACTTACCTGGGATGAAGAAGAGCGAGGAGCACGAAGGCACCGTCGCCTTTTCCAGCTCAGTCAAGGATGGACTTAAATGGGCTTTAGTACTCACTGCCCAGTTTCTCCCAGCACCTACTGGGCCTACCAGCCTTGGCTGCTCTGCTTCCTAGGGCTTTCCTTGTGGCTTATCCCTGTCCACAGCTGGAAGTGGCATTATTTTTTTGCTCTCCACGGAACTAAAGCCAGAAGGTCCGTGTAGGAGATTATGGACTTCTTACTGGGATAGAGCTGGCGTCCCAAAATCCCAGGGAGAGGGATACGCCAACAGAAGAGTGTGGACAACAAGCCCTTGGAGCTGCTGGTGAGACTGGGACGTAGGGGCTGTCGCTGTGTAATATCTTAGTAGAGTTAGAAGGTGGTAGTGGGTAGTTCCTGTGTGTCGTGTTAGTGCTTTTGGCATTTAGAAGCTGCTGCGTAAACTCGGGGTGCTGTGCGCGTCGTACCTACTGGCCACCCAAAAAATGTCTTGCCGGGCAAAAATATTGGAAGTTGTCAAACCAGGAAACATCACAACTAATATATATATATTTATTTTTTTTTCCTAAATCAAAAGGAGAGGCAACATCCATCAGGGGGCTGAATTCTGGAGCCTCCCAACAACACACGCCTGCTCTCAAGGTGGCCAAAGTACGATGCTGAGCAACTAGAACTTAGATTTTAGAGGAGCCTCGCAGCCCAGGTGGGAGAGTTGGGCTCCGAGAGGGAAACCCTTTCCCCTTGAGGCAGGAAATGATCGAGTGCAGCCCGGGGAGAGTGAAGGGTTAGATGGAGCAGTGCTGGGGCCACTGTGGCTGCTGCTCCCCTTGCCCTGCACACCAGCAGTGGCTCCAGCGCAGCGCTTGGGCTGTAGGTCTTGGTGCAGGTACGTGGAGGAGCTTGGTTCTTCGTGTTTTGGGGTCACGTGAATGTATGCACAGACTGAGCGTTGGGTTTTTTTTGGGGGGTGGAGGGAAGTGGGTGGGAAATTGTGTTTCTAGAAGTAAAAGCGACCACAGCAAAAGCAGTCTTAGAAGGAGGAGGAAACGGAGGGTCTTTTTGCCATGTTTTGGGGTCACGTGAATGTATGCACAGACTGAGCGTTGGGTTTTTTTTGGGGGGTGGAGGGAAGTGGGTGGGAAATTGTGTTTCTAGAAGTAAAAGCGACCACAGCAAAAGCAGTCTTAGAAGGAGGAGGAAATGGAGGGTCTTATTGCTGTCCTCCCATCTGTGTTGGTGCTAGGAACTTAGGACTTGGGGTCTGGAGGTGGCTGCCTGAGTAGTGTACCTTTCATATATCACCCAGCAGGATGAGAACTGGATCTGAAGACTTCTTGATGGTTAAGTCAGGTGGGGGAAGCAGTCATAGCTTTCTAAAAGAGCTTCAGATCAGGTGAGGTCAGATTCCTGCAGTCCCCTGCTTAGCAGCTGCCTCTGCAGAACTTCAAACACTGAGCCACTTCTAGTTTTGCCAGTCAATGTCTTCTGCTCCAACAGAGGACAACCTGAGAGAGTGGCCATGGAAGAGATTTCATGCTAGTCCTGCAAGGGGAGAGGTGAAGTTGTTTTGGTTTTCATGCCTCTTCCTCCATCGTGCTCTAAATGGACCATTATCCTCCCATCTGTGTTGGTGCTAGGAACTTAGGACTTGGGGTCTGGAGGTGGCTGCCTGAGTAGTGTACCTTTCATATATCACCCAGCAGGATGAGAACTGGATCTGAAGACTTCTTGATGGTTAAGTCAGGTGGGGGAAGCAGTCATAGCTTTCTAAAAGAGCTTCAGATCAGGTGAGGTCAGATTCCTGCAGTCCCCTGCTTAGCAGCTGCCTCTGCAGAACTTCAAACACTGAGCCACTTCTAGTTTTGCCAGTCAATGTCTTCTGCTCCAACAGAGGACAACCTGAGAGAGTGGCCATGGAAGAGATTTCATGCTAGTCCTGCAAGGGGAGAGGTGAAGTTGTTTTGGTTTTCATGCCTCTTCCTCCATCGTGCTCTAAATGGACCATGTAGAACCAGGAGGAACGTGCCCAGGCCCACTTGAGGAGGTGAATTTGTAGCAGGTGAGGTCGGTGGAGGGGGAAAGAGTTTCTCAAGGATGGAGCCACCTCAAGGGCAGAGCATCTGCAGGGCTGCCAAAAAAAAAACCAACCAACTGTGGCTGGTTGTCTTCACTCCGGTGGGGAAAGGGAGGAGGATGCTGAAATGGGTAGTGCTGTCATCACGGCTGCAGGTGGCAGCTGAGCACATAATTTGGGATCAAAAGCCTGAGGCATCACTTCAGGCTCTGCTGCTGATCTGCTGAGGGAAGAAAAAAAACCTGGACTGAGGTCCAGGACCACCCCCACCCCCCCAATTTTCTTTGCAAGAGCTGGACCCAGCCCCTCGTGTTCACAGAGCCCTCGCTTTTGAGGGTGAAGAAAACTCATCATTCACATGGAACTCCCAAAATCGCCTTATTTACTCCTCACCAAGACCTGGCAAACTGGAGCTGGTGACAAAGGAGAGGCTCTGTCTGGCCTGAGGTGGCCTCTTCTTCCTGGTCAAGGGTTTTTACTCGGGGTGGGGTTTGGGGGTGGGGGGGACAACAAGGGAGAACGGGACACTTCAGTTTATACCTCATTTTAGCTGCTGTACCTGAGTTTATTCTTTCTCCTCTGGTAAGAAAGTGACTGTACTTAACACCAAGCAAATAGTGAACAATTAAAGCCGTTTCACTTCACTGTCACAATCTCTTTCTTT